TGTGGGATGGGTGGTGGCCGAGGGCGGGGACCCTGGCGGTCTGATCCTCGGCTACAGAAGCTGGCTATTGGGACGTGGAATGTCACCTCACTGGTGGGGAAGGAGCCTGAGCTGGTGTGTGAGGCTGAGAGGTTCCGGCTAGAAATAGTCGGACTCACCTCTACGCATGGCTCGGGCTCTGGAACTAGTTTCCTTGAGAGGGGCTGGACACTCTTCCACTCTGGAGTTGCCCCTGGTGAGAGGCGCCGAGCAGGCGTGGGCGTACTTATTGCCCCCCAACTTGGTGCCTGTGTATTGGGGTTCACCCCAGTGAATGAGAGGGTGGCCTCCCTCCGCCTACGTGTGGGGGGACGGGTTCTGACTGTCGTTTGTGCTTATGCACCAAACGGCAGTTCAGATTATCCACCCTTTCTGGAGTCCTTGGAGGGGGTACTGGAAAGTGCACCTTCTGGGGACTCCCTTGTTCTGCTGGGGGACTTCAATGCTTATGTGGGCAATGACAGTGAGACCTGGAGGGGTGTGGTTGGGAGGAACGCCCCCCCTGATCTGAACCAGAGTGGTGTTCTGTTGTTGGACTTCTGTGTTCATCATGGATTGTCAATAACGAACACCTTGTTCAAACATAAGGGTGTCCATATGTGCTCTTGGCACCAGGACACCCTAGGCCGCAGTTCGATGATCGACTTTGTCATCGTCTCATCTGATCTGCGGCCACATGTCTTGGACACTCGTGTGAAGAGAGGGTCGGAGCTGTCAACTGATCACTACCTGGTGGTGAGTTGGCTCCGATGGTGGGGGAGGATGCCGGTCAGACCTGGCAGACCCAAACGTATTGTGAGGGTTTGCTGGGAACGTCTGGCAGAGTCTCCTGTGAGACGGAGTTTCAACTCCCACCTCCGGGAGAACTTTGAACATGTTCCGAGGGAGGTGGGGGACATTGAGTCTGAGTGGACCATGTTTCGTGCCTCTATTGTCGAGGCGGCTTACCAGAGCTGCGGCCGCAAGGTTGTCGGTGCCTGTCGCGGCGGCAACCCTCGAACCCGATGGTGGACACCGTCGGTGAGGGATGCTGTCAGGCTGAAGAAGGAGTCCTATCGGGCCTTTTTGGCCTGTGGGACCCCGGAAGCAGCTGATGGGTACCGGCAGTCCAAGCGACATGCGGCTCGGGTGGTTGCTGAGGCAAAAACTCGGGCATGGGAGGAGTTCGGAGAGGCCATGGAGAACGACTTCCGCACGGCTTCGAGACGATTCTGGTCCACCATCCGGCGTCTCAGGGGGAAAGCGGTATGCCACCAACCCTGTTTATAGTGGGAGTGGCGTGCTGCTGACCTCAACTCGGGATGTTGTGGGTCGGTGGGCGGAATACTTTGAAGACCTCCTCAATCCCACCGGCACGTCTTCCACTGAGGAAGCGGAGCCTGGGGACTCTGGGTCAGGCCCTCCAATCTCTGGTGCTGAGGTCACCGAGGTGGTTAAAAAGTTCCTCGGTGGCAGGGCCCCAGGGGTGGATGAGATTCGCCCAGAGTTCCTTAAGGCTCTGGATGTTGTAGGGTTGTGTTGGCTTACGCGACTCTACAATATTGCGTGGACATCGGGGGCAGTTCCCCTGGATTGGCAGACCGGGGTGGTGGTCCCCCTATTCAAAAAGGGGGACCGTAGAGTGTGTTCCAACTACAGGGGAATCACACTCTTAAGCCTCCCTGGTAAGGTCTATTCGGGGGTTCTGGAGGAGGGTCCGTCGGATAGTCGAACCTTGGATTCAGGAGGAGCAGTGCGGTTTTCGTCCTGGCCGTGGAACACTGGACCAGCTCTACACTCTCAGCAGGGTCCTGGAGGGTGCGTGGGAGTTTGCCCAACCAGTCTACATGTGCTTTGTGGACTTGGAGAAGGCGTTCGACCGCGTCCCTCGGGGGGCCCTGTGGGGGGTACTCTGGGAGTATGGGGTACCGGGCCCTTTGATACGGGCTGTTAGGTCCCTGTATGACCGGTGTCAGAGCCTGGTCCGCATCGCCGGCAGTAAGTCGGGCTTGTTCCCGGTGAGAGTTGGACTCCGCCAAGGTTGCCCTTTGTCACAGATTCTGTTCATAACTTTTATGGACAGAATTTCTAGGCGCAGCCAAGGTGTTGAGGGGATCCGTTTTGGTGGCCTTAGGATTGCATCTCTGCTTTTTGCAGATGATGTGGTCTTATTGGCTTCATCAGGTCGTGATCTACAGCTTTCGCTGGAGCGGTTCGCAGCCGAATACAACGCGGCCAGGATGAAGATCAGTTCCTCCAAATCCGAGGCCATGGTCTTGAGCCGGAAAAGGGTAGAGTGTCCTCTCCGGGTCAGGGAGGAGGTCATACCCCAAGTGGAGGAGTTCAAGTATCTTGGGGTCTTGTTCACGAATGAGGGAAAAATGGAGCGTGAGATCAATAGGCGGATAGGTGCAGCGTCTGCAGTGAAGCGGGCGCTGTACAGGTCTGTCGTGGTGAAGAGAGAGCTGAGTCAAAAGGCGAAGCTCTCAATTTACCGATCGATCTACGTTCCCACCCTCATCTATGGTCACGAGCTTTGGGTTGTGACCGAAAGAATGAGATCTCGGATACAAGCGGCCGAAATGAGTTTTCTCCGTAGGGTGTCTGGGCTCTCCCTTAGAGACAGGGTGAGAAGCTCGATCATCCGGGAGAGACTCAGAGTAGAGCCGCTGCTTCTCCACGTCGAGAGGAGCCAGTTGAGGTGGCTTGGGCATCTGTTTAGGATGCCTTCTGGACGCCTCCCTGGTGAGGTGTTCAGGACACGTCCCACCAGAAGGAGGCCCAGAGGAAGACCCAGGACACGCTGGAGGGACTATGTTTCTCGGCTGGCCTGGGAACGCCTCGGGATTCCCCCGGAAGAGCTGGCCCAAGTGGCTGGGGAGAGGGAAGTCTGGGCCTCCCTACTTGGGCTGCTACCCCCGCGACCCGACCCCGGATAAGCGGAAGAAAATGGATGGATGGATGGATGGATGGATCTGGACTTTGACTTGGCCATTCCAACACCTGGATAGGTTTATTTGTGAACTATTCCATTGTAGATTTGTCTTTATGTTTTGGATCATTGTCTTGTTGGAAGATAAATCTCCGTCCCAGTCTCAGGTCTCTTGCAGACTCAAAACAGGTTTTCTTCCAGAATGGTCCTGTATTTGGCCCCATCCATCTTCCCATCAATTCTGACCATCTTCCCTGTCCCTGCTGATGAAAAACCGGCCCAAACCATGATGCTGCCACCACGTTTGACAGTGGGGATGGTGTGTTCAGGGTGATGAGCGGTGTTGCTTTAATGCCAAACATATCGTTTTGCATTGTGGCCAAACAGTTCAATTTTGGTTTCATCTGACCAGAGCACCTTCTTCCACATGTTTGGTTTGTCTCCCAGGTGGCTTGGTGCAAACTTTAAACAACACTTTTTATGGATATCTTTGAGAAATTGCTTTCTTCTTGCCACCCTTCCATAAAGGCCAGATTTGTGCAGTGATTGTTGTCTTATGGACACTCTCCCACCTCAGCTGTAGATCTCTGCAGTTCATCCAGAGTGATCATGGGCTTCTTGGCTGTATCTCTGATCAGTCTTCTCCTTGTTCGAGATGAAAAGTTTAGAGGGACGGCCGGTCTTGGTAGATTTGCAGTGGTCTGATACTCCTTCCATTTCAATATGATTGCTTGCACAGTGCTCCTTGGGATGTTTAAAGCTTGGGAAATCTTTTTGTATCCAAATCCGGCTTTAAACTTCTCCACAACAGGATCTCGGACCTGCCTGGTGTGTTCCTTGGTCTTCGTGATGCTCTCTGCGCTTTGAACAGAACCCTGAGACTATCGCAGAGCAGATGCATTTATACGTCGACTTGATTACACACAGGTGGATTCTATTTATCATCTTCAGTCATTTGGGACAACATTGGATCATTCATAGATCCTCACTGAACTTCTGGGGAGAGTTTGCTGCACTGAAAGTAAAAGGGGCCGAATAATATTGCACGCCCCTTTTCAGTTTTTTATTTGTTAAAAAAGTTTGACACATCCAATAAATTTCATTCCACTTCACAATTATGTCCCACTTGTTGATTATTCACAAAATAAATAAATTTTATAACTATGTTTCAAGCCTGAAATGTGGCAAAAGGTTGAAAAGTTCAAGGGGGCCGAATACTTTCGCAAGGCACTGTATGTAAGGAAAATGAACAATTACCATTAATCATTTTAAAGGCACAATCGCTTAATGAATCATTAATTATTTTCTATATTTTGATTATAAAGCGAAACTAATCAAAAAATTAAGTATTTGCTTTATTATTACAATTTGTTTCTTATACTTTTGGTTGTTAATTTTATTTTACCCCTTATGATTAAGCATACTTATTTCCTTTACTCACTTTAAACACACACGCACACACACTTTAAGATTTAGAGTACTAAACTATTTCCCTTATACTCCTTTACCTGCCCACTCTTACTGGCCTAACAACGGGTTTTGGGGCTGATCTCAAAAGCACATTTCTCAACAGTATACTGACTACAGTACGTGCATACAGCAATCATTTCCAATAATTAATTGTTTGGTGTTTGAGCTGAGACGCTGCAAACAAACAAAAAAAAATTAAGTTGCTGACTGATTTAAAAAAATAATTTCACATTTAATCAAGTTGTGATTTCTGCTTCTGTACAATGACAATAATTGCACAACAGGTAATTGTTGTAACATGCATTTATTTACCGGCAATACAATTTTGTTGCACAAAAAACCCAGACATTTTCAAAATTTGAGCTTCAACATAGTGTACGTTCACATTAACAATGGGTTTTCCCACAAATGAAATCTTGATATAGGCTAAAAAAAATAGACTTCTTGGTGTATAAAAAATGAAAAAAATTCAAATACTGTACAGCAAAATGTCTGTCAAAATGTCAAATATAAATTCATAGCAGAAAGTCCTCAGACAAAGTTAACATTTAGTTGTTGTTTTTTTTTTTTTTTGTTTTTGGGGGGGGGGGGGGGGGGAGCATATAGCAGGAAATTGGAATGAGACCTGAATCTCCTCCAAGGTTGTAAACAATATAAAAATAAACACAGGCTTAATCTCTGCAGATACAGTACAAGGACAATTTCACTTTGAGCAGAGTTAAAAAAAACTCAGAAAAATATACATTCAAGTTATAGTTCACAAGTCATTTGGTTCATCTGTGGATAAATGTGACTTCTTATAAATCTTCTGATATTCATGAAAGAGGCTGTCCATCTGAGGGGCAGGTAGGGGCTGGCACTGCTTGGTAGTTGAATACCATACATCTATTATGCAGAAAAGTTACAAAATATTGGTATGTGGTCCGTATGAATTTCATTTTCAGAAAAACAGGAAAAAAAAAATCTAAAGTTTGTAATTTTAAGCATCACCTTTTGACGTGGCATTATTTGGGTCAGACTTTTGGGGGCTCTGGTCATCTTGTGGTTCTGGCATGCCTGGGAAAAAAAAAAACAATAAAACATGAGTAAAATAATTCATAAATTTGATTTAGAGTCAGTGGTGGCCAGTCTTTATATCAAAACACAACATCAAACGCCTGACTTTTTTTTTAATGAAGTTCTGTGAAGTCTTTCAGACATGATGAGGCATTCCCGTTTTTCATACAAATAAATATTTCACACCAAGACTGTAGGAGCATGTTGTTACATCTAAGAAAAACTGAGATGAACTGAACTGAAAAGCTAAGCATCAAGGTTGAATGAAAAAAAAAAATCAGTGGCTACAAGTGTTTTGAACATGAACCCAAAACAAAGTGTTGCTGTGAAAAGCGATACAGTTTCCATTGCCTACCTACAGAAGAGGAATTGGGAAGAATGTGACTGAAAATGTGACTGAAAATGTTGAACTTGAGACCACCAAAATGTATGTGTGCTCATGTAGAAGTATTTATCAAACTTAAGAGTTCAATAAATTCAGCAGACTGAAAGAACTTTTAGTTGGTTTTATTTTCTTTGCAGCAAAGGAGAACAGCACCCCATGAAAACCTCAGTGAGTTCTGAAAATAGTGTTAAGCTTACACATTTATACAGTCCTTCACACGTCATAAAACTCTATTCTCACATTCCTGGCCCCATAGGGCAGTTGACAGGTTCCAGATGGTGGATCCTTTGCCTTAAGGGCTTACAAAATACAAAACCAAGAACAAGACAAACAGTTCCTTGTTGGTCGGGTCAGGCGCATCCCTATTGCAGTAATTTATGTGCGAGCAGTTTCTGGGAACCAACATTCTGATGGCTTCACACACTCAACAAGGCCCCTCTGACTTCCTGCCCCATGGTGTGATGAGAAACGGATGTTTCAATAGGAAATGGCATGCGGATGGTCTCAACCAGATGGACATCACAACTTAACTAAATATTATGCATAAGACTTGACTAAAACAATACAAAATACTTTATATTCTTTTTCCTCCACACTCATTTCACTTTGTTGACAAACAGCCGACGGAGAAAAACACATCTTACTTTGTGACTGGACTACGATAAAACACTGGAGAAGAGAGGCCAGATCCACAGATTGAATACAGTGTGACAAGAATATCAGATGATTTTAATTGTACGAATGGCACAGCATTATAATATTAGTTTGTTTTGAGTTTTATGATTTTCTCTGCACTTAACCCAAGCTCTGTGATGGAGGACTTTAAGGCTTTGGTTGGGCTCAATATCTGCTTTAAGGTAAATAAGATTGTGTCCCATCTTTTAACAAATGCGACCGACCTTGTTACAGTGTAGATACTAATGTGTCTCAAAGCTTTTCAGGCTGCTCATGGCATCACTGTCGGAAGCAACAGAGTCAATGAAATAGCGAAATATGCAAAAGTATGTCATCTGCAGCCACTTCTTCAGGTCGCTCTCCCATCCCTCGTTTGCAGTAGGCAGCGGTAGGGCTGGGCGATATCTCGATATTTACAAAATATCAAAATAATTTCAAACGCGATATGAGACTACAGTGAGGAAAATAAGTATTTGAACACCCTGCGACTTTGCAAGTTCTCCCACTTAGAAATCATGGAGGGAGTTGAAATTTTCATCTTAAGTGCATGTCCACTGTGAGAGACTATCTATAAAAAATAAATAAATCCAGAAATCACAATGTATGATTTTTTTTTTATAATTTATTTTTGTGTTACTGCTGCAAATACGTATTTGAACACCTGCCAATCAGCAAAAAATCTGGCCCTCAAAGACCTGTTAGTCCACCTCTAAAAAGTCTACCTCCACTCCACTTATTATTCTAAATTAGAAGCACCTGTTTGAGGTCATAGCTGCATAAAGACACCTGTCCACCCCACACAATCAGTAAGACTCCAACTACTAACAAGGTCTAAGACAAAAGAGCTGTCCAGACACCAGAAACAAAATTGTAGACCTCCACAGGACTGGAAAGGGCTATGGGGCAATTGCCAAGCAGCTTGGTGAAAAAAGATGAACTGTTGGAGCAATTATTAGAAAATGGAAGAAGCTAAGCATGATTGTCAATCTCCCTCGGACTGGGGCTCCATGCAAGATCTCACCTCGGGGCGTATCAATGATCCTAAGAAAGGTGAGGAATCAGCCCAGACCTACATGGGAGGAGCTGGTCAATGACCTGAAGAGAGCTGGCACCACTATTTCCAAGGTTATTTTGGGTAATGCAGTAAGACGTCATAGTTTAAAATCATGCATGGCACGGAAAGTTTCCCTACTTAAGACAGGCCAGGACGTGTGCTGATTTAAGTTTGCCCATGACCATTTGGATGATGCAGAGGAGTCATGGAAGAATGTCATGTGGTCAGATGAGACCAAAATATAACTTTTTGGTCTCGATTCCACTCACCATGTTTGGAGGACCAAGAATGAGGAGTACCATTCCAAAAACACCATCCCTATGGTGACACATGGGGGTGGAAGCATCATGCTTTGGGGGTGTTTTTCTGCACATGGGACAGGACGACTGCACTGTATTAAGGAGAGGATGACCGGGGTCATGTACTGCGAGATTTTGGGTAAAACTCCTTCCCTCAGAGCATTGAAGATGGGTCTTCCAACATGACAATGACCCAAAGCACACAGCCAGGATAACCAAGGAGTGGCTCCTGTCTTTCTACCCAGTGAAGTTACCACTTGAGTTATGGCCAAAACCCCACTGCAGCCTCTCCTCTAAGGGGTATCACAAACTAAATCTAGCACTTAAGTATTACCCAGAGTGACCTTAGGTTAGTTCTACTTAAGTAAATAGATTTAGTGTTTTTGTTCTATGATCCTATGTTTTAAACTAGAACTCCCAGACCTTTGTCATTTGTCAGTTATACCTTTAAATCCCAAGGATTTGCCATTTGGCAGGTTTGAACTTGACTTTGGAAATAATTCAATTTAAATTCATTCAAATTCAGCCCGCTTGCCTCCATTGTTATGTAAATGAGGCCATTACATTACAAAAATTTGCTTTGTTTTTAATGAAAATTAATGAATAAACTAAATGAATTAAAAAAAAAAGTGGCAAATTGTTTAGTCAAAATAGCTCTGATTTTTATTAAAGTAATTTTGTCTTAAAAATTTGCCAGTAGCTAAGATATTTTTACATAAATTTATACAAAAAACCCTCAGCTACTTGAAAAAAAATAAATTTTTAACTAAAACATTCATAAAACCTTAAGTAAAAACATCTTATCAGGCCATTTGTATTGTTTTATGTCAAAATACATATTGAACAATTTTAACTTATCAAGATGGTACTTTTTGCAGTGTGTCTCTTCCAAAACCACAATAGACATAACCGGCAAACAAATATAGGAAATTAGGAACTTTAGGAAATCTTACCAGAAGAAATTTCAGAGTCAGAACTCAGCTCAAGGGTTATTTCTTCTCCCTCGGAGTCACAGGGGTTGACATGGTTCAGAATCATATCCAAAGCCTGCTGTGCACTGTAAACCTTTGCCATCTTTGCTTCTCAGCCAACAGAGTAAGTGAAATATATGTTGTGACATGGCTTTTTATCCACCTGGAGTTGGATACAATCGAGGGTTTTTTCTTCTCCATCTGAGTATCAACATCGTTCACACTATCACCCATCCCCCCCCCCCCCCCGTTTAGCATTTGCCTGGGACAGCATTACCTGTACACAACAAAAGGTGGTCTAATGGGATGCAAATTACTCCAACTGCCATTTGGCAGTCTCTGGTAGAAGAAGGAGTCATTTGAAAATGTTGGGAGTCCTAGTGTTAAATGCTTTTTTTATTAATTCTTCAGTTATTATTTGTGTATTGTATTTTTTCTCATTAATTTTACTCCCATTGATGTTGTTGTTAAGCACTTTGATAACAGGTTCTGTTTTAAATGTGCTCTATAAATAAAGTTGACTTGACTTAAGGCTGTGTTGAAGGTGACTCACCCAGCTTTGTTAATGACCATCATTTGCAGGTCACACCCATATCTCACCCCGTGACTTGCCCATAGCAGCTGGGGTTGAATAGTCGCTCACGGGGAAACCTGCATTCATGGCCACCCACCTTCAGTTGTAGAACTGCTATTCTTACTGATCTGGTCATTTTTAGAATCTAGGAATAAGACTCCAAGATGTTGTTTATAGGCTAAGAAACCTTTAAAAACCTCCCATTTTTTTGTTAGAATTGAACCAAGCTTCTCAAATCCATGAGCACAAAGTGATGAATTGATAGTCCAGAGTTTTACATTTTATGCTTTGCTTTAATTAATGATTTGCAGGGGAACAGCGTTATCAGCACAATCCAAAATAATTACATATAATTATTCGGTAAAATCAGTAATAAGGAGTTCATACAAGGCTTAAGGGAGAATCCTGCTGGCCGATTTTGATATCCCATGGGTTGGAAGTCCACTAAAGTAGAGATCTCATTGGCTCCGATGAGCAGAGTTGTTACGGGTGGAGACTGCTATGCATTTGGAGGCGTACCAAGACACCCAAAACCCCTAAGATTATTCAATGAGCCAACAAGACTTCTAACTAAGCTGTTATAATCAAACTTAACACAGTTTGTATGATGACTTTTCAAGAACGCCAGATCCAGGACATTACTCTCTAAATCTAATATCTTCATTTAGTGATAAAATAATCACTATTATTTTGTATAAAAATTTATCTCAGAACAATATGTTAGGGATCGCTCACCAATTGTCTAAAGACTTCTTTTGGATAATGCTAAGTGAAGTTTCTCCACCAGAGCCCTGGAGGAAATCACCCTTGGCCCCAAGAGCAGTCCTAATTCCAAAGGGGCTGGTCTGACATCAACCCGGGCTGAAGTAAAAAAAAGAAGTATTCCTATCTTGACAAAAAGAAGTTCCTTTTTTGAGCTGTCCTTTTTGAGTGGCTCCTAGGGACAAAATCAATATTGTCCTGTCACGTCAAGTCCCCGGTTCGTTTCAGCCCTGCTATGCAACCTCGTTACGGTTTATATAGACTGCCGACTGGCCAAAAC